CTTTGTCTTAAAATCTATTTTGTCTGAGATCTTCTTTCTTTTTTTAAAAATGTTTTCTTAGGTTTTTGCCATAGGAAGTGTGTGCTTGCTGGAGTGAGGGAAAGTGAGAAATCACTCCCTAGGGTGATGGCCCTGCTGCAGTCCCACCTCCTCCATTCTCTGCTTGGGATTTTGGGCACACATGCACATGTGCCTGGCATGAGTTTCAAGCTAAGAGGTCTGGGACTTGAACCATGGTTGGCCATGTTGGAGTCCAGCGCCTTAACCACCGTGCCACTTGCTGGTCCCAGGAATATCTTTCTATCTCTTCCTTCCTCCCTCCCTCCCTCCCTCCCTCTCTCCCTCCCTCCCTTCCTTCCTTCCTTTCTTCTTTTTTTGGAAGAGATTTTTGCTATAGGTAGGGTGCATGCATTCACCAGAGAGTCAGAAATAAAGAAAATGAGAATCACCCTCCAGGGGGATGGCCACGCTGCAATCCCTTCTCCTCTCAGGATTTTGGGCATGCATGCACATGTGCCTGGTGTGAGTCTTAAGTCACCAGGTCCAGGACTTGAACTGCGATGGACTGCATGGGAGTCCAGGGACATGCCCATTATGCCATCTGCTGGCCCCAGGAATATATTCCTTAAAAGGTAACATTTCAGGGCTGTGAGAGAGAGACATCTTGGAAATGCACATTTGGGTCTCTGGAGCTGCAGATGGAGGCTCTGCACACCTGTCCGTCGGTAGGGAGAAGATCGCCGAGGCAGCCTCGTCCGCGCCTCCTCCCCACTCCCAGAGAACTTACTTTTGGAAATGTCTTTATCTTCTTCTTTCTTTTTTAATCTTCGGGAGGTTCCTAACTAAGTTAGTTAGTGTCTTCAAATTTTTTATTTTCTTCTCAGTTTGTCTACTTGCTTTAGGTGCAATCTTTGTCCCTTCAGCAAAACAAACAAACAAAAAACAAACACACACACACACAAACACTTGCAAGATTCTCGACTCACTCTATTACAGGAAGCTCACTGTCTGTCTGTGAGATGTGAGGCTCCCCGGAAATATCAGCGACACTTTTGTAATTACTGCCCTCATTACCAGTGTGACCTCCACACTGATGCCTTCAGCGGCAGCACCATCCCCACCGCCACAATTGTCACTGCCACCACCGCCCAGCACCTGCATCGCCACCATCTGTGCCACAGCTGTCCCCATCACTCTCACCGTCATCGTCGTGTCACCATCACACGACCAGCGTCCTGTCCCCACCGTCACTGCCGCCAGCACCAGCAGCAGAAGAGTCCTTATGCTTGGTTGAGCACGTGCTCGCCTGGAACAGTGCTGAGCGTGCTCCCTGTGGGCGTGCTCGCCTGGAACGGTGCTGAGCGTGCTCCCTGTGGGCGTGCTCGCCTGGAACGGTGCTGAGCGTGTTCCCTGTGGGCGTGCTCGCCTGGAACGGTGCTGAGCGTGCTCCCTGCGGGCGTGCTCGCCTGGAACGGTGCTGAGCGTGTTCCCTGTGGGCGTGCTCGCCTGGAACGGTGCTGAGCGTGCTCCCTGCGGGCGTGCCATGCAGACGATGCTGTCCCCCACTGCAGTTTACAGACGTCGAGTGATTTCTCCAGGGCCACCCACGCAGGCTGCATTGGGCCTGGATGAAAACTTAGTCCGTCTGGGGTGGTGGTCTGTGCGTTTCTCCGCTGAGCCACATGGCCTCCGCCCCAGCCTTGTCCAGAGTCCCTTTACCCCTGGAGAGCTCCCAGCTCTGTAGCGTCTCTCGTTCTCACTTTGTAAGGAGAGCAAGTTTAGCTCAGGAGAAGCTTCGCGCCGTGATGTGGCGCTCTGCAGGTGTCGATGTGGGACGCCCACAATTCATCTTGTGTCATTTTCTTAGGGTCTTTGTGGTCCAGATGGATATGGGAACCCAGGAAGAAAAGGAAAGAAGGTGAGTCACCTTCCAGGGTGTTCTGAGCTAAGGACTATGCTTACATTTTATTTTACGAGAGTAAGAATTGTTTTCCAAATGCTAGGCCGGAAATGATTTCTCTGTGCTGTTTACAACATGTCAGGCTGCCGGAGTTTCCCCCCACCCCCGGAGAAGTAAAAGCTGATTCTGTCACTCCGTCATCTAAGAGTGAGCTCTTGAGGTCTATGTATGCAGATCTCAGCCCAGCTCTGGGCATGCCAGGAGCTTTCTCGATCCTCGCCTTTGCTAACCCTCTTCTATCTCAGTGCCCTTTCCCGTCTCCCTCCCTTAGACAAATCCTGCTTGTTTGCTAAGACCAACTCAACATCAGCTTCTCCTGTGGCAGCCTCCCTGGGCTGTCTGGGTGGAACTTGTCACCCTCCACCGGGTGCTCCTGCGTCCACTTTTCGTGTTTCTGTAGCAGCCTCCTTCCATGCCGGCGTATTCCGATCTGTCCTCTGTGCTTACTCTGCGGCCTGTGAGCCTGACAGCAGGATTAGCTGATTCATTTTGCTCTGCCGGTCCCTGAGGGTTCTGTACCAGGATCCACCCTAGCCTCAGCGTGCACACCCGTGTCTGGCTTGCTCAGGGAGCTCCTGGGTCGTGACCCCGGGACCTTTCCCGTGGAGGTCCAGTTGTGGTACGACCGTGCCACGACCCGGCCCAGGCAGCTGATATTTTAACTCGCAGTTCACGAGGCCCTGACAGATGGCGTGCAGCGGTTCCAGGAAGCTCGCTGAACAAGCCAAATGTCAATGGCACTTACGCTCGAGACGCTTCAGTCTGTAAGTCGCATTTGTTTCTAAGTTTTGCTTGTTTTAGTTTTGGCCATAGGAAACATTTGTGTGCCAGAGAGAGAGAGAGAGAGACAGAGAGAGACAGAGAGAGAGACAGAGAGAGAGGGCAAGTGAGAAATGAACCACCCAGGGACAGCTGCACCACAATCCCTTCACTTCTTAGGATTTGGGGCCCACACGCACATGTGCCTGGCGTGCTTTTCAAACCTCGGGGTCCAGGACTCGAACTGTGGTTGGCCATGTGGGAGCCCAGGGCCTCAAATGCTAGGCCGGAAATGATTTCTCTGTGCTGTTTACAACATGTCAGGCTGCCGGAGTTTCCCCCCACCCCCGGAGAAGTAAAAGCTGATTCTGTCACTCCGTCATCTAAGAGTGAGCTCTTGAGGTCTATGTATGCAGATCTCAGCCCAGCTCTGGGCATGCCAGGAGCTTTCTCGATCCTCGCCTTTGCTAACCCTCTTCTATCTCAGTGCCCTTTCCCGTCTCCCTCCCTTAGACAAATCCTGCTTGTTTGCTAAGACCAACTCAACATCAGCTTCTCCTGTGGCAGCCTCCCTGGGCTGTCTGGGTGGAACTTGTCACCCTCCACCGGGTGCTCCTGCGTCCACTTTTCGTGTTTCTGTAGCAGCCTCCTTCCATGCCGGCGTATTCCGATCTGTCCTCTGTGCTTACTCTGCGGCCTGTGAGCCTGACAGCAGGATTAGCTGATTCATTTTGCTCTGCCGGTCCCTGAGGGTTCTGTACCAGGATCCACCCTAGCCTCAGCGTGCACACCCGTGTCTGGCTTGCTCAGGGAGCTCCTGGGTCGTGACCCCGGGACCTTTCCCGTGGAGGTCCAGTTGTGGTACGACCGTGCCACGACCCGGCCCAGGCAGCTGATATTTTAACTCGCAGTTCACGAGGCCCTGACAGATGGCGTGCAGCGGTTCCAGGAAGCTCGCTGAACAAGCCAAATGTCAATGGCACTTACGCTCGAGACGCTTCAGTCTGTAAGTCGCATTTGTTTCTAAGTTTTGCTTGTTTTAGTTTTGGCCATAGGACACATTTGTGTGCCAGAGAGAGAGAGAGAGAGACAGAGAGAGACAGAGAGAGAGACAGAGAGAGAGGGCAAGTGAGAAATGAACCACCCAGGGACAGCTGCACCACAATCCCTTCACTTCTTAGGATTTGGGGCCCACACGCACATGTGCCTGGCGTGCTTTTCAAACCTCGGGGTCCAGGACTCGAACTGTGGTTGGCCATGTGGGAGCCCAGGGCCTTACCCACCATACCACCTGCTGACCCCTGTATGTTACTTTTATTGCCTCACAGAATAAATCGCTGGGATGTTTAGTGATGCTCAGCTCTGCAGCCATGCCGGGACTGAGCTCGCACCTCTGCAATCTCGCTTTCTGTGGCTGCGAGGCAGACTGGCAGCACTGCCGTTTTATCTAGCAGGAAATGACCTAACCACAGAATCCGGCACGGCGGCGTGCTCGGAGACTCAGTGGGCGTGTAGCGCGGCCTCACCAATGACAGTGGAGGAGACAGGCTCGGAGGAGAACCAACTCCCTCACAGTCACACCGCTGGCTAGAGACAGAGCTGGGTGTGGAAGCCAGCATACCGACGGCCCACCCAGGCACCCAGGGGCTTCTGTTCCCCTCTAAGCAGGAGTCTTTACAGTCGAAGCAGTCTGGGCAGGACTCAGTGTGCGTGTTTTCAGACACCTGCCGGCGTGGAGCGAAGCACAGGGCAGTGTGGGTTCATGGCGACACAGTTAGCATCACGGAACACGTTTGCATGGACTTGTCTTGGAAGATGGAACGCCTCACTTTAGGCTGCCCTTCTTACTGCCTGGCCGGTCAACTGCGCTCCCCTGGCCTGCTCATGGCCGTCCTCTCTGAGGTGGCTGTGTCCTACCCTCACCTCGAACATCGAAGGCTTGCTTTCTCTTCCACTCTTCCACGGAAGGCCACGCTAACTATCTCATTAACAGACGCCATGAGACGCGGACCTCTGTGTACGTCCACACCAAGCAGCTCCCGTGAACGAGCGTCTGCTCCCAAGATCGACCCCTTGTCTCCGAGGCCCTGGCTCCTCCACCCTCACGATTAGATCTCCCCCCCTTCATTATGTTTTCCAATAGCACAAAGAGATGGGGTACCCTCCACCTTCAGAAAGCACAGCATCCACCTCACCGACTGTAGATCTCTCTTGCCCCTTTCCCTCTGGCAGAATCCGTGGCAGGTCATCCAATCCAGGGCTTCCCCCAGCCACGTCCGTGTCACCAGGGAGCCCCTGCTGCCACTGCCACTCGTGGGCCGGGCCACATGATTTCCAGAACCTGGCCCAGCGTTGCAGCCGCCTGCGGGGTCCCCGGCTCTGTCCCTGCCGTGCGGAGCGAGTTCTTCACGCAGCAGCCAGACCGTCTCTGAAACCCACAGATCTTGTCACCCCTTTATTCAAAGCCTGCTGTGGCTCCACGTCCCTCCGAACACGAGCTCGCCGGCCCTCCCTCTGTGCTCTGGCCTCCTTCAGGTTCCTCAGAGCCCGCAGCAAACCTCCGCCTCCTTGCCTCAGGCTCTCTCACGCACCCCCCTCTTCTTCCAGACCCCCGCGTGGCCGGCTTCCTCGATTCTCCCGGTCTCCGCTCAGTGCCACTTTCCAGACAGGCCGTCCTACACGGGTAGTCTCCCACCCCAACACCTCACTCTCCAGCCTCGAGCCTCTTCTCCGGAGCAGCATCCACCTCCCCTGCACTGCGTGTTTCTTGGCTCACTCTCGCCCTCACCGATGAGGCCCGTGAGCGTGAGGCCGTGTTCTCTTCACCGCTGAATCCCCAGTGCCGAGAGTGGTGGCTGGCACGGAGCAGATGCTGAATACGCATCCATTAAACGAGTGGTGGTTTTACGGCGTGCCGTTGGTCTGGCGGAGAGCACCCGCTTCCCGGCACTCAGCTTGGTTCCCACCCAGCTAACCTCGAGGGATTTTTATTTTAATTCTTACTATTTTAGGTTTTGCCATAGGGCTCATTGCAGAGAGAGACAGAGAGGGAAAGTGAGAAATTACTCCCTAGGGAATGGGCACGCATGCTGTAATCCCTTCTCCACTCTCTTCCTGGGATTTTGGGCACACACAGGTACCTGAAGTGATTTTCAAGCTGCTGGGTCCAGGACTCGAACCGTGGTCAGCCATGTGGGAGTTCAGCGCCTTAACCACTATACCATCTACTGGCCCCAAACCTCAGATTATTTAAACTGGAATTAAAATGTCTAAAAAGAGGATTGGAGAGGCCACGGTGGCAAAATACGACACTTGGAGAGACGGACCCGCGCGGGAAAGCTCTGGGTTAGCGTCCAGAGACCTCCCCGAGATTGCCGGAGCACCCGTGCCCAAGACCCGGGCTGGCTGAAGCGAAAAGGGGGGATCGCAGTCAAGGCCCTCGGGGGCGGCGTCTCTGTCTCTTCCTCTTGTCTCTGTTGCTTTTGGAACCAATAAATTAAAAAACTTTAAAAAATATTTAAAAAAATGCCTAAAAGGAAGTTTTGCCCACACCGTGTCGAGGAAGGGCACGGTTTACAAAGATCACGTGCACATTGTTCCGTGTTGGATAGAGAAATGGAATATGGCCCCGCGGGGTACTGGCTGTGGCCGTGGTGGATTTTCCTGGCCTGTTTTGAACCTACTTCATCAAAATTACAGTTTTTCCTTTTCCCTGAAGAATGTCGAGGATATATTTAACTGCATGACATTAAACAAAGCTTTATCTCGTTTCTGACACTAGGGCGAACCTGGATTTCCCGGCTATCCTGGTGCACAAGTAAGACACTATCTTCGTGGGCTGGGCAACCAGCCCGGTGCATGAATCATGTGGGCTCGTTCGCGGGGTCTTCAGAAAGGTCACAGGAAATGAAAATCGTGACAAAAGGGTGCATGGGTTTCAAACTTTCAACACCTCACTCTCCAGCCTCGAGCCTCTTCTCCGGAGCAGCATCCACCTCCCCTGCACTGCGTGTTTCTTGGCTCACTCTCGCCCTCACCGATGAGGCCCGTGAGCGTGAGGCCGTGTTCTCTTCACCGCTGAATCCCCAGTGCCGAGAGTGGTGGCTGGCACGGAGCAGATGCTGAATACGCATCCATTAAACGAGTGGTGGTTTTACGGCGTGCCGTTGGTCTGGCGGAGAGCACCCGCTTCCCGGCACTCAGCTTGGTTCCCACCCAGCTAACCTCGAGGGATTTTTATTTTAATTCTTACTATTTTAGGTTTTGCCATAGGGCTCATTGCAGAGAGAGACAGAGAGGGAAAGTGAGAAATTACTCCCTAGGGAATGGGCACGCATGCTGTAATCCCTTCTCCACTCTCTTCCTGGGATTTTGGGCACACACAGGTACCTGAAGTGATTTTCAAGCTGCTGGGTCCAGGACTCGAACCGTGGTCAGCCATGTGGGAGTTCAGCGCCTTAACCACTATACCATCTACTGGCCCCAAACCTCAGATTATTTAAACTGGAATTAAAATGTCTAAAAAGAGGATTGGAGAGGCCACGGTGGCAAAATACGACACTTGGAGAGACGGACCCGCGCGGGAAAGCTCTGGGTTAGCGTCCAGAGACCTCCCCGAGATTGCCGGAGCACCCGTGCCCAAGACCCGGGCTGGCTGAAGCGAAAAGGGGGGATCGCAGTCAAGGCCCTCGGGGGCGGCGTCTCTGTCTCTTCCTCTTGTCTCTGTTGCTTTTGGAACCAATAAATTAAAAAACTTTAAAAAATATTTAAAAAAATGCCTAAAAGGAAGTTTTGCCCACACCGTGTCGAGGAAGGGCACGGTTTACAAAGATCACGTGCACATTGTTCCGTGTTGGATAGAGAAATGGAATATGGCCCCGCGGGGTACTGGCTGTGGCCGTGGTGGATTTTCCTGGCCTGTTTTGAACCTACTTCATCAAAATTACAGTTTTTCCTTTTCCCTGAAGAATGTCGAGGATATATTTAACTGCATGACATTAAACAAAGCTTTATCTCGTTTCTGACACTAGGGCGAACCTGGATTTCCCGGCTATCCTGGTGCACAAGTAAGACACTATCTTCGTGGGCTGGGCAACCAGCCCGGTGCATGAATCATGTGGGCTCGTTCGCGGGGTCTTCAGAAAGGTCACAGGAAATGAAAATCGTGACAAAAGGGTGCATGGGTTTCAAACTTTTTTGCACCAAAATAAACTGACACTTTAATTCCGTTTTCCACAGACTTTTCCACAAGTCTTCTTGTGCTTATTTTTCTTGTATTCAGAATTGTGCTTTCAATTCCGTTAAGGGGGAAGATGGTGACCCCGGGCGCCGAGGAGAGAAGGGGGCGAGAGGAGTCAGAGGGAGACGGGTAAGACCCCGAGGGCCTCTCCGACAGCTGCAGCACCCCCGTTGTCGCGGGCGTGTTACTCGGGCTCGGGCTTCTGCGAGGGGCCCAGCCCTCGTCAGGGCTCCTTTCGCACACTCCGTACCACCCCACTCCCTCCTCACCCCACCCTCGCTTACTTACCTTCCGGGCACCGATGCAGCTCACCAAGCCACTGCACTCAGGAAGTGCGAGCAGGCCTTTCAGTTAGTGTCGGCCTTCTGGAAACCAGCTTGGGAGGCTCTGTCTCCGCGAAGTCCAGACGTCATGGAGGGTGGCGCAGCCTCACAGCAAACGTGGCAGTTTCCCTAGGGCTCGTCCGAGGCCCGACGTCCTCAGCTTTCAAGGCTGTACCCTTAGGACTGCAGCCGTCTGCTGGGTGGGCCTGGAGCCCTCCGTGCCTTAGAGAGCCACCCATTCAAGCCCGCCTCAGTTCTGAGGGCTCAGCCTTGCAGGCCTGCAGTCACTCGCGCTCCTTCTGAATAGTGATGCCGCGGGTGTCTGACCGTTCAGCACTCAGCTGATCGGGATTAGAACATACAGCCTTCTAGGAAGACGTCCTGGCTGGTGTCTGTGCAGAAGCGAGGGAAGAAAGGAGAGTGTGGGGGAGTAATTTTAAGGCACTCAGTGACTGGCGTGTTCCTACACTGGCAAGGACGTAAGCCAGATTCCATCTCTGCCCAGCTTGGCTCGCTGCTCGCTATGGCTGCGCCGATCAGCAGGCTGTCTTGTTCATCTGAGTGAGAAAAGATAAAGCGTTGGTCATTCGCAGAGAGCGCTGCGTACCTTCGAGTATCTAGAGGGTGAGGAGTGAGTCTGTGACCGTCACCGCCGGTCTGACCGAGGACCCGGGCGGGAGGGGTTCTCGTCCCTCTTGTCAGGCCCTCAGTCAGACTGCGCCCTTTCTGGGGCAGAACCCTGAGAACAAGCTGAGTGTTGGGCCACCTTCTCAGGCTCTGTCGGGAACGTGTGTCTGTGGCCCCACTTTTTCTCGTCCCCGTATCGTACTCCATGGACACGCAGTTCATAAACCAACTGGGCAACAGCGAGCTCGCTGGCCTGTGACTGATGGCTCGGTATTGCAGCGGGTAGGATGGCTCAATGGGAAGCTCACCTCTGTGGTCTGGTCAATTTCAGGGCGATTCCGGCCTTCCTGGACTTGCCGGGACTCCAGGTGACAGAGGCCCACCAGGAAAAGCGGTAACATGCGTCCTTCTTTGTTTTGTTTTCAAACTCTGTATAAAAAGGAGTACGACTCGATTAGAAATGAGAAATGAGTATGCGGGACACACGAGCGAGTCCACGTGGGCTGGGCCGGCTGGCTTTAGTCCTCACACATCGGGGCTAGAGGAGACTTTCCTCACGGCCCAGTGGTTATTCATTCCACGCACAGTCTCTTTAGCACGAGGAAGTGGTCAGAGATTTAGGCGTCTGTCTAACCCCACCAGGGAGCGTGCAGAACCCGCTGCAGACTGAGCAGTCAGTGTAAGTGAGATGGGCAGTAACGTTTCTGCAAACTCCCGGAAGAAACCCTAACAAAATCGGACGTTTCCATGAGCTTAACTGAACGACAGCATTGCAAACTCAAACAGATTTTTAAAATTACCTGGAAGATGAGTTGGCGTGAAAAAAAAAGCCCTTGAAGCTCTCATTCTGCCCCGGGCCCTCTCCTAGGAGCCAGGCTGTCACGCCAGGAGGCCCAGCATGGTAGTGGCCATGGGTCGGGGAGGCCCTGCAAGGTAGTGGCCGTGGGTCAGAAGGCCCAGCACAGTAGTGGCTGCGGGTCAGGAGGCCCAGCACGGTAGTGGCCACGGGTCGGGGAGGCCCCAGCACAGTAATGGCCACGGGTCGGGGAGGCCCCACAAGGTAGTGGCCGTGGGTCAGGAGGCCCTGCACGGTAGTGGTTGTGGGTTGGGCCTGGGGGTTTCCCTGTCCTTTGGGGCCTACTGGAGGGGTACAGCTAAGTCAGAGAATCAGGTCTCGGCGGGGGAAGAACCATTCGTGCCCATTTTACAGATGAGGAAAGAGAAGCTAGAGGGCTATAATGGTGTGCCCACGGTCACAAAGGTCTCCCTCAGAGTGTAAGTAAGAACAAGGGTCTCCAGACTCGCGGAGCGACTGGAACTGGGGTGCTGATCCGAAGCACTCCAGGAAGGCCTGTCCGGTGTTAGGGCAGACGGTGGGGTGACGGCTGGCACACAGACCGGGGCAGGAGGGGACTGGGGTCTACTTTAGAGCAGGCTGTGGATGGGCCTGTGATCTTCCTGAATTTGACCCTGAACTGTGCCTTCGTTTCAAAATGGCCTAGTCTTCTAAGAGTCTTTGTGTTCTGTCTGTCTAGGCTCCTGGGCTACAAGGTCCAGGGTGTACTTCTCAGACCCCTGGCCCTCCCCCTTAGGAGGCAGACGGACCCCAGGCCAGGAGTAGGGCAGAGGCCATCACGAACGGTGGTGAACGTCCTCAGGCTCTCTTGCCAACTCTGGAGAAGAATGTGGCAGACTCAGAACGATGAATTTTAAAACCAAATTTTCATGTTTTCCAGGGTATCAAGGGTCCCAAAGGTCTGCTAGAAAAGACGGTAGGTGAAGATTTGCATTTGAAACTTTCGATTTGCGTTCAAATCTTTCCAGTTTTACAAAATAGAAAGCTGTTAAAGATTCTTTTATTTCTCCTCTTACAAATTTTGCTAGTACTTTAAGTTATAGATTTTACTCTGAAGTGCGATAACCAAGTGAAATAAAAAGTAGAATAGTATTTCACATCCAGCCGGGAGCCCGGGTGTTTTCGAGTAGGGCTGGAAGACAGGAAAGGGAAATTCGAGGCCAGTATCTCTCTGCAATCCATCTTTTGGTGACGCCCCCAGATTGCTTTGTGAACTTTTTACAAACCCACACATGGTGTAATGCAGAGCTTCGTGTGTCACCACACACCCAAGACCAATGTCAGAAGTTACGATTTGTTTTTTAATCTCCCAAGTGCAGAGGGCAGGGGATGTGGGGCAATGGAGGAGCGGAGTCTGGGCGGTGACCAGATGGAGGGTCAAAGGAAAGAGGCAGAATCTCTGGAGGAGGCGTTGGGTACCCGCCTTGGCCGTCGCTCTGGAGAAGCGTTACAGGAATTGTAACAGGTGCAGGCTGCCAGCAGCTCGCTGTGTTCTCTGCTAAGGTTCCCGGATTTAAACTTCGAAATCAGATCTGATCCTATTGCTGTGTGAGGCAGATGGAAAATAAAGGGTACCCGATATCAATCTATCTGCAATCACGTGGGCTCTCTGTTAAGTATGAAATCTTCCAGGGCTTTTAAATGCCCAGTGGATCTAGAAATACAATTGTTGGTTAATTTGGGGGTTTCTGCTGTAGATTAAAGACTGGGGATAGGCACTGGTAACACGCCCAGGCCTGCTGTACGTTACAGCAGGGAAGCGGAAGAAGCTCGAAATTAAACCTAGTTTCCTTTCCCGTCTCTGTCCGTCTCTCTGGCAGCCTTGCGAGATCGTCGAGTTCACGCGAGTGCACTGCCGTAAGTTGTTCGGGAGGGGAGAAGAGGAGCCGGTGGTATGAGTGGGAGGGAGGCAGGAGCCACCTGAGGATTCGACCAGGTTCCGGAGGTGTCTCGCCTACTGCAAAGAGATTGTTGACATACATGGGACTCCAGCGGCAGTGGGGTGCATGCGCTCACTGGAGGGACAGAGAGAGACGGAAAAACAGAAAATGAGAAATCCCCCCCGGGGGATGGCCACACCACAGTCCCTTCTCCTCCCGGGATTTGGGGCACACACGCAGGTGCACCTGGCATGAGTTTTAAGCCTCCAGGTCTGGGACTTGAACTGTGGTCGGCTACGTGGGAGTCCAGCGAGGCAGACGCTGTGCTTTCTGCTGTCCCGAGGAATGGTCGGGAGGGCGTGCCCTCAGCGATGGTGAACCGCCACTCAACACTGTCCCGCGAAATGTACTAATGGCTGTACACCTGCGTGTCTACGCCGTGGGCCTGTCACAAAGCACAGGAGCCTTGTCCTTCTTAGCACAGGCCTTTGAGTTACGGGGATCAATGGCGACCCTTCCAAAAGAACTTAGTTATAGCTACGTTCTGAAAATGGAATGATGAACTATCACATCTTAGGTGTTTTTTTCTTTTCTTTCCTTTTTTTTTAAGGGAGATTTTTGCTATAGGGCACATGTGCTCCAGAGAGAGACAGAGAGAGATGGAGAGATAGAAAGTGAGAAATCACTACCCCATGGTGAGGGATGGCCACACTACAATCCCTTCTCCTCCTTTCTCCTCTCGGAGAGGTTCAAGCCGCCGGCTCCGGGACTCAAACCGCGGTTGGTTGTGTGGGAGTCCAGCCATGTAGCCGTTATGCCATCTGCTAGTCCCCTCAGGCGATGTTTTATCATGAACCGAGATTGGCATTTATTTATGGTCCTCGGTGTATGCGGGATAGCTGCATCCCATAATACTTCCATTTCTCCACTCGCTAACAGGAAAAGGACCCTGACTTGGAAGTGGCTAGGTTTGGACGTCAGGGTTTCTGGGTTCTATTATCCAAGACTTGCGGAACGGCCCCTTCCCTGGGAGACCGCCTGTGTCCCAGGCAGCCGTGTGCCCAGTCAGAGAAGGGGAGGAGGGCACGGAGGAACAAGTGGGGTCTCTGGAACTCTCGGGCGAGCCCGAGAGGCCACGCTCGGCCTTCCCAGAGGGGACGGCTTTTCACACTGAAGCGCGCAGGGGAAGACGCCGTGCCGGTGCCCACATTAACGAGCTGTCTTCTCTCCTCTCCAAATGGTCCCCTTCCAGCTTGCTCGACAGGTAAGCGACACCCCTCCGTACGCATGTCACCCTCCCTGTTCAGAGGCCTCACAGGAAATCTTACCTCTGTGTCCTCGGCTCAAGGTACCCCCAAGTGCCCAGCATTCCCAACCGAAGTGGCCTTTGCCTTGGACATGTCGAGCGAAGTCTCCCCGTCGGACTTCGAGAGGATGCGAGGCATCGTGCTGTCCCTGCTGGCGAGGCTGGAGATAAGTGACAGTGACTGCCCGACGGGCGCCCGCGTGGCCCTCGTTTCCTACAACGCCAAAACGGACTACCTGGTCCGCTTCTCCGACTACCGAGGGCAGGCCGCGCTGCTGGAGGTGGTCAGGAAGATCCCCCTGGAGCGGTCTTCCAGCCACAGGTACCTCGGAGCCACCATGAGGTTCGTGGCGAGGCACGTGTTCAAACGAGTGCGCTCAGGCCTCCTCGTGAGGAAGGTGGCTGTGTTCTTCCAGGCGGGCCGGGCCCGCGATGCAGCGTCCGTCAGCACTGCCACCCTGGAGCTGGGGGCTTTGGGCATCACCCCAGTGGTCATCAGCTTCACGGAGCAGCACGACCTCCCAGAGGCCCTGCAGGTCTGAGGGGACCCGGGCGGGAGGGAGGCTGGTGCTCACACCGGGTGCGACCTTCGGCCCGGGCCTGCAGAGGGATGGGAGCTGTTCAGTGTAGACCCTGCCGCTGGTTCTGCCCAGGACTGCAGAGGGGTGGGAGCTGTTCAGTGTAGACCCTGCTGCTGGTTCTGCCCAGGACTGCAGAGGGGTGGGAGCTGTTCATTGTAGACCCTGCCGCTGGGTCTGCCCAGGACTGCCGAGGGGGGGGAGGGGTGGCAGCTGTGCAGTGTAGACCCTGCGTCTGGTGCTGCCCAGGACTGCAGAGGGGTGGGAGCTGTTCAGTGTAGACCCTGCCGCTGGTTCTGCCCGGGCCTGCAGAGGGGTGGGAGCTGTTCAGTGTAGACTCTGCCTCTGGTGCTGTCCAGGACTGCAGAGGGGTGGGAGCTGTTCAGTGTAGACCCTGCCTCTGGTGCTGCCCAGGACTGCAGAGGGGTGGGAGCTGTTCAGTGTAGACCCTGCCGCTGGTTCTGCCTGGGCCTGCAGAGGGGTGGGAGCTGTTCAGTGTAGACCCTGCCGCTGGTTCTGCCCGGGCCTGCAGAGGGGTGGGAGCTGTTCGGGGAGCATTCCTAGGAAATCCACGTGTGTGTGGGCCAAGGGCCTTAGTGTAGACCCTGCCGCTGGTTCTGCTCGAGACTGGCTGGCAGCTCTACACGTGCTCTGTGCCATGGGCCTCGTAAATACGACTTTTTAAATAATGGCCAAAGGGTGTGTGCACTTAGAGAGAGAGACAGAGACTAGAGGGGAAGAGAGACAGAGACTAGAGGGGAAGAGAGACAGAGACTAGAGGGGAAGAGAGACAGAGAAAGCCCCCCACAGTGGAGCACGGTCAGGCCATGACCCCTTTTCCCTCCACTTTAAAGAAATTGTATTTATTGTTATTCTTCAATTTGACCAGAGAGAGAGAAAGGGAGAAAGGGAGAGAGCAAGCGGCCAGATCCAGGACTCGGCCGTGGTTGGCCACGTGGGAGTCCAGCACCTTAGCCCCCAGGCTGGCCCTTTCCCTCCACTTCTCCACCTGTCAGTCGGGGCTGGGGCGCACATGCACCTGAGCCGTCGGCTGCGGGGACCTGGCTCCCAGCGCGCGGCCTTAACTCTGTGCCACTGGGCCGGCCCACACTGACCCTGTTCAGAGAGCCTTGAAACTCTATGCTTTTCAAAATGTGTTTATCTCCATTTCAGGGGTAAGAAACCACGACTTAGAGAAGATAAGTATTTCCTCAAAGGTCAAGCAGCTAGTTTGTGGCAGGTTGATACCGCCTTCAGGGTCTGTGCTGACTCACTGTGTGAACCTCAGGGTCGGTGCTGACCCACTGTGTGGAACCTCAGGGTCTGTGCTGACCCACTGTGTGGAACTTCAGGGTCTGTGCTGACCCACTGTGTGAAACTCAGGCACTGGGGCCCCCCAACTGGGGGAACCTCGCG